GCCCCGCGGAAAATCGCGCGCCAGGCCCCGCCCGCGGTTTGAACTGGAGGCCCCGCCCCCGCCCCCGGCCAATCAGCGGGCGGGGCGGCCGACGCCACAGGGACCCTCTGTGGGCGCGGAGCGGCCCCGCCCCTCCCCGGCGGCCCCGCCCCTCCCCCCGGCTGCTCCTCCCTCGGTGGCGGCGCGGGCGGCGCGGGCGGCGCGGACGGCGGGCGGCCAGGTGAGCGTCCCGGCGGGGCCGGCGGGCCTTTGTGAGGCCGCGGGGCGGCCTCTAGGCCCCTCCGCCCCGGGGGCCCCCGGGATGGCTGGGGGCAGCCAAGGGGGAGGGGGCGCCTGGGGGCGGGGGCCGTCGGGGGAGGGGCGCTGCCGCGACGACCCGCGGCCCCGCCCGCCGGACGAGCGACACTCCACCTGGGATTCCCCCCGAGCGGCCGCAGCCTGAACTTGCCTGTCCCGCACCGGTGCAGTCCGAGAGTAACATCGCCTTGGCTTTGACCAAATCGGGGGCTCTTAAGAGGAGAAGCACTGAAGATGGGTTTGCTGGGCTGCCCCACGTTGTCTTCTGACCTTTGACTCGGGAGAGGTCAGTGCAGGCCCTCCTGCTCCTCCCGGTCCCCACCAAGGCCCCCCCTTAGAGACCTGTGGGGCCCTGGCGGAGCCACCTGTCCGGCCGCCTTGTATTTCAGCTCTGACCAGAGTGCCCGGTGGCTGCCGCCTCTGTCACCCCTCCACACGTCCTTGCATCCACCCCACCCTGCACCCCACCTAACCGCCTAACCTTCCGTTTTCTCTGTTTCTAAATGTCCTTTCTAATCTGCGCTGCTTGTAGAATGAGGGGTGGGTGTGGGTGTTGGCAGCGGAACGCTTGGATTTCATCTTAGGTCCTTTTAGCAAATCTGGGTTTTGTTGGTACTAGAGTGCCCAGAAATGGCCCGGCCAGGGGCACCTTTCTCTGGAACCCTGGAGGGCAGGGCCTCCTCCCTGTAGCAGGCTGCCTGCCTGGGAGTTTCAGTTTGAGTTCTTTCCCCTTGTGTCTTGGTTTTAATTGTTTTGAAAGGGAACGTTAAGAATGTTTTGCAATAGTTTCCCTCCCCACACTGCAGGAGAGCCAGCTTGTCTTTAAGCTGGTCAGCGAATATCAAGGAGCAGATGACACCAGCCTTGGGTGGCCTGAGCCTGGTGCCCTGCCTGCTCCCCCGCTCCTGGGCGGGGCAGCCAGGGAAAGGGGGTGCGATGTGGGAAGAGGATTCTGGGACCCTGGATGCTAAGGGAACTGTCCTCAGTGGCCTCCTCGCACCTGCCCCTCCCCGCCGCAGTCAAATGTGGGAGCCAGCGAGCTCTGACTGGGGAAAGTACCAGACCTTCGCTTCCGCAAGTCAGAGGCAAGCTTAACTCTACATTTTCAAAGCGTACTGTCCCCAAAACAGGATCACCAGGCAAAGCGTCTACCAGGTCACTGCTGGGAAAAGCTGTGGTCCAACTAGAGGGTTTCCCGCCTAGGGCCGTGTGTTGCTGGCACCGGACAGCGGAGCGGGGCTGAGTTCACGGAAAGACAGATGCTGCCTGCTTACCAAATTAAGTTTTGCGTTGTATGACTTTCCTGCTACAGTTGCTCTTTATTTTCAAGTTTCACCATGTTTTGCAATTAACGTTGCAATTCAGAATAAAAAATCAGTTGAGACCTTTTTTTTTAACAAGAGCGGCTGGTTTTGTCTTAGAAAGAGGGCTGGGAGGTTTCCTTCAGCTTGCTATTGGAACATATTCCCAGGCAAAGAAAGGTTGTGTTTTACTCCAAGTAACAAATGTAGCTGAAATCAACTTTTTAGCACTAGCCTATGAAAAGTCCGGACAGATGGTAGTCAAGTGGTGACCCCCACACCTGACTCAGAGGCAGATCTCAGAATCTTGCTGAGTATTTCAAAGCAAATCTGACCTTGAGACGGAAACTGAGAGTGTTCATGTGGATTTGCCTTAAAAACCTGACACTCCTAAGGGTGCTTGGCAGTGGCTGTATGTGGTGATGAGTCTATCCCTGGCCTGGATCTGGGGGTCTCACGGGATTGCTGGCCACACTGTGTGAGTGGCTGCAGCAGAGGTGGCCTGGCCCCTGTGACTGGGGTCTCCTTTGCCCAGGGGGTGGGGATGCCCTCGGTGGGCAGGTGCAGCGCCTCCCTGGCTTTCTGTCCTTCATTTTCCTCTCTGTCCAGTCGGCGCTTGGTCTGGAGGAGGCTGAGGGCAGTGCTGTGCAGGGACAGAGGGGCCAACGCTGACACTGACAGGCTCCAAGAGGAGCGTGCTGACCAAGAGGACTTGGAGGGACGTGGGCATTTAGCTAGATACACGGCAAGACCTGCCGGCATATTGCGGTGGTGATGGAGGTGGGTACTAACCTAATTTTTGTTCGGGACTCCGCAGTTAGGACGGTCTGGAAGCTGTGGGGCTTCGTGTCACCCTGAGTTAGAAGGGCTGAGTGCCCTCAGGCTACAGTCATGGGCTATGACTTAGCCAAGCCAGCCTGGAGGGGAGGGGAATCTGTGTCCCTGCCTCTGCCTTGGGCATCTCTCAGGGTCCTTTCTGACTTCGTCCCAAACACAGGTGTCTGGGCGGGGGACCCTCAGAGGCCACCCACTGAGCCCAGCCTGAATCGTCCCCTGAAACAGGCTCTGGGTGACAGCATGTCAGCGCTGTCCTTGGGCTCCTCCCTCCCCTACTGATAAGTCTGCCAGCACTTTCTTGTGTTGAGTATCACACCAGTTAACGGTTGCTCAGGCTTTGGAACATAGGAAAGGAGTGACTGAGAATGGTTTTGAGTGTGTATTTGTCCTGGCAGGCCCAGTGAGATCGGCATACTGAGTGAGACGTGGCTGCAGAGGCAGCATCTAAAGTGGTTTTAGATTTAAATGAATGTAGTGGCAACCCCCCACCTCCGTCACCTTGTTTTTTTGTGCATTTTTGTTTATATTTAGTGCAATGAAATGAACAGACATTAGTTGTGCTGTTCAGTGATTTCGACACATCCGGTCTTTCCAGGCCCAACTCCTCCGTGGCAACAACTTGGGTTAGCTCGGTCTGTCTGCACGTTCATGTGAGTAGCATCGCGTGGTGCCTGTTTTTCTGTTGTTCACGTGGTGTTTTGAGATTTACTGTTGCAGGTTGTTGCCTCTCGTGGGTTTTGTTGCCGAGTAGTATTCCATTGTCAGATACACCCCCACTTCACCCATCGAGCACGCTTATTTTAAATCTTAAATAATGTTGCATCCAGAGTGGTGAGACAGACTGGAGCTGGCAGAGTGCCATGAGGGAGTGGAGTGGGGGTGTGGTCCAGGGAGGCAGCGGCGGGAGGGGGGCTCCCAGCAAAGGTGAACAGATCAGGGCAGAGGAACTAGTGGAGGGTGAGCTGGTTCATCCTTCCTGGGAAGCAGCCTGGTGGGTTCACCACGTGCTGTGACAGTGCTCCTGCCCTGGCCCCAGCAGCACGCGCACCCCCCCCACCCCCATGTTTGTAGGCGGGACAGTCGCTGTCAGAAGTGACGGTAAACTTCCACGTGACATAGAGGATGAGATGAGCAAGGAAGGTGGGACTAGCCGTGACTCCAACAGGCAAACACGCAGAGGAGGATGTGCCTGGAAACACCAGGAAGGCCTGGCATAACTGGCTCCCTAGGGTCTTTGCTTGCGCTATCTGATTCTCTCCCCATTATCTGCTCTGCGGGGAGTGGCTTGAAGAGCAGAGGCACTGCTGCCTCCAGAGGGAGCCACCACTGCCCGGCCGGCAGGGATGAGGGCAGCAGGGTCCTGATGGGGGCTGTGGGACGAGATGCAGGCACCCCGTGATGGCTGGGGGCATGCCTGCCTTTCTCCTGTTGGTCCTAAGTCGGATGCAGGGACAAAATGATGGATGCTGTCGGTTATTGGTCACACACTGGCCGGCCACGGGGCAACTGCTACAGGTTGTTTGGCTTCCTGTGCTGTCGCTGGAGATAGAGGTCTGAGTTCCCGCAGGTCTGCCGTGTGGGGAGCAGGCAGCTTCCTGGGCTGGTTCCTGCGCATGATGGGTTGGCTCTGGGACAGTCAACCGCATCCCTGTGTCTGTTCCGTGTCTCAGAGCAGAGTCACACGGGTGCCCTCTGGGCATCTTTCCTGGCGGTGCTGCCGTGGGAGCTGCAATGGCTCTGAATTTAGCCTCTGGAGAGAGGGGCTTGCTCTGGGTTGACCCCTCATGAATCTGTGCCCTGGGCTTTTTGAGGACCCCTGGAGGAAAGAGACGTGGGGTCCCGGGGAGCCCCACATAGCTTCCTGTGTGATGGGTCAGCCGTGGGCTCTGCCACCCCCCAAGCCCCACGTGGCTCCCTGACCTCCCATAGCCCGGACCTGCCAGCGAGAAGGGCGGCTCCACCTCCTCTGTCCGTAAACTGGGGCTTAATTGTGTTTTTCGAAGGAGTTTGGGCCCTAAATTAAGTCTGCAGAGTCCGAGTTTCAGGTTTGGTTGAAAAGCCAAGTGGTGATTGACTTGCTACAGAGGAACCCTTGAAACTTAGTCCCCCCACACACAGGGTGTCTCTTTATAGTTTGACATAATTTATATTAATTTTCAAGATGCTTAGAAGTTTTAAGCCAGTGACTTTCACACCAGTAATTGGGGGAAAAAACTGTAGAAGTTGAATGTGTAGCCAAGACAAAAAGTTCAAATCCTTTATTACCAGAAGAGATTGAAATACTTTTTTTGTGTGATTTGGTGGTAAGCTCTTTCTTTCATTCATTTAAAAATAGTCGCTAAACAGGTGTTCATGCACGGGGTTGTGATGGAGCCGGATGGCTTCAGCGGCTGTGTTGGTCAGTTAGACCTATTCACTTTTCTGGGAAGTTTGTCTCAAGGGAAAACAGCTACGGTCACCTAGTTTTCTAACTTTTATTTGGAAATAGGTATAGGCCCACAGGAAGTTGTAAGAACATCCTGGAGGTACACCCTTGCCCTGCCTCCCAGTGCTGGCTCTGCGCTGGGTGCCCAGACACACCGTCCCCACCAGGAAATCGGCTTCCAAGGGCCACAGAGCTGATCCGATTGTGTGTGTGTGTGCGCGCGCTTGCGCGCGTGTGGTTCTGGGCAGCTGGAGCACACGCCAAGCTTCCAGGACGCACCACCTCAGCCCCCATGCAGAGGGACGCCCTCGCCCAGAGACCCCCTGGGGCTCACCCCCCGCCTGTCCTGTTAGCGTCCTTACCGGGGTGGAGCCTGCCGCGTGCAGTCTGTTGGTTTTCTCGTCCAGCGTAAGTCCTGAGACCCACCCGAGTGCCCCGGCCACTGGTCAGTCCTCTACCGCTGAGCGCGGGCGCTGTGTGCTGGCGCTGGAGCGGCAGCCTCGCCACACAGGGAGGGCCTGGTGTCCGGTTGGGCTAGTGTGAGTGGAGCGGCTGTGAGCTTTCTTGTACATGTTTTTGCATGAGCATTGGTTTTCCTTTCTCTGGGATAAATGCCCAAGAAGTCACTTAATTTAAGTTCTTAAATGTTTAACACACAGCAGGTGAGAGCTACAGCACCGAGGGGAGACTTGGAGGTTGGGGGCCTCTTTCTGTCTGTCTTAGGGTCAGGCTGGCGGGCCTGCAGGGCGGCGGGGGCAGCGGCGCGTTCCCTCTTCGCCGCACAGCCCTGTGATGTTGGCGCCCAGCACACCACGGTAACAGGCCAGCGGCAGTCACTGGGAGCCGCAGGACTGCCTTTTAAAAAGAAGGAAAATTTTTCAGATTGCACATTTTAAAGATTCTAACCCCAACTCAAATGAACTATTTGAAATAAAAGTATTTAGCTACTTTACGGACTTGAGAAGAGAGGAAACTCATGCATCACAGCGTACTGTTCCAGCAGGTGTGGACCTTGACAGAGAGCCCGTGGTGTGGCAGGGCCCAGCCAGGCGTCGCGGGGTAGGTGGGGCCCTGCCCCTTCCTGCTCCGCGTTTTAGTTACGCAGAGGCCTCCAGCTTAGAGGCTGTTGGGAAGAACAGCTTCCTTGTGTTTCTGCCTCTCAGGTGGTGGCACAGAGAGCCTGCGGCGTCCAGCTGGGCCCCCCAGAGCCCCTGACGGTCTGGCTGAGGCCCAGGAACCAGCATCTTCATCCTGCCCCGAGGGATGCTACCTGGGGTGGCCGTAGAAGGCCCCAAGCCCTGGGGAGGACCCTGCCCCTGCCCTGCGACCTTCCAGAAACCCCTCCTTTCCCAGAGCGGGGAACTTGAAGGGGACATGTGGCCTCGGAGGCCCTGGCTGTGCGCACCTGCGCCCAGCAGAGCACTGGGACTGGCAGGTGGAAAGCAGCCTGCGGGGCCCAGGTTGCTCCGCCAGCACCCTGCAGACGCCCTGCATGTCCAGTGTGTCTCCCCTGTGGCTTCTGGGGCACAGCTTTTCAGGAGGGCGCTCCGCAGTCTGGGAGAGCTTGTGAAAGCATTGAGTGTCCGGTGTCTGATGTGCAGAAGTGGCTGTCGGTGACCAGGACCGAGTGGCTTTGCAGCAAAGTCAGACCACTGGTGACCACAAGGCTCCTGGCCGCCTGTCCTGCTCTTTGGCCCTCGGGCTGTGCCCGGCCACCTCGTTTCACACAGACACCTCCCTCATAGGCAACAACACTTAGAAATTGGGTGTCACTTTTGAGTCTAGGTCTTTAAAATGTATTTCTTCTGTTCTTGATCCATTTATCTTTTCTGATGGAGACAGTTGTGCTGTGGCTTAGCGATGTCCTTTGGAACAACCTTTGCAGAGTCTGTGTGGCTGTGGCCACCCAGAGTTGTGGCTCTATCCCCGCCCCAGGTCCCCTGTCTGCACAGGCCACCGCTGGCAGTCGGAGACTGAATCTGGGGCCGTGTCTGTGGGGACTCGGGTGGGCTCAGTGGCATGTTTCTTGGTTTCCACAGGACACGCATGATGTTCGCCCGAGGGTTAAAGAGGAAGTGCACCGAGGACGAGGAGGCGGCGCCCTCCTACAGCCGGCAGCGCCAGTCGCTCCTGGACATGTCCCTGGTGAAGCTGCAGCTCTGCCACGCGCTGGCGGAGCCCAGCCTGTGCCGCTCTGTCCTTATCGCCAACACGGTCCGGCAGATTCAGGAGGAGATGACGCAGGATGGGGCCTGGCGTGGGGCGGCACCCCAGACCACGGGGCGGGTGCCGCTCGACCGCCTGGTCTCCACGGACATCCTGTGCCGCTCGGCGCGGGATGGGGCGGGAGACGGCCCAGCAGCACCGGTTCCGAGGGGCCCGCAGAGCAGCATTTGGGAAGGGGACGGCCCCCTGGAAGACAGAGGAAGCTTTCAGAAGTCCCTCGATCAGATACTGGAGACGCTGGAGAGTAACACCCCCCTCTCCGTGGACGAGCTGTTCTCCGACGTGGACAGCTCCTACTGCAGCCTGGACGCCGTGCTGACCGGCGTGGTGGGCGGCGCTCAGTCGGGCCAGGACGGGCTGGAGGCCCTCGCCACCATGGCCGCCCCACCCCCCAGCGCCAGCTGCAAGTCGGACCTGGGTGAGCTGGACCACGTGGTGGGTATCCTGGTGGAGACTTGAGCCGCGGCCATCGAGGTGCAGAACAGAGGGAGTTGTCAGGCCGTGCAATCAGCTGGAGCCCTGGGTGTGGTGCCCGCTGCCCTGCAGCCAGGGTCAGCTCTGGTTTGCCTGTGTTTCAGAGAATGACCAGCCACCCCCTCTGCCCCCAACCCCGGGGGGGCCGAGCAGTCTCCTGCAGGCTGGTCGGCCCTCGTCCCTGGGCCTCGTCGCTGTGTCCTGCTCCAGCTCTGCGGAGGACGCACGCCTCCAGCTGCAGTCAGCCGTGTCCACCTTCAGCTGGGTGGATTTTCTAAAATTACATTTTATATGTTTTGGATAATGTTTTGTCTTAAGATATATTTCTAAGCTTTTTATACGTTTATCACTTTAGATTTTTTAGCTATTTTCTTAAAAATATATTTTTCTATGAATGTTTGCTGCTGCTACATTAGAAACTTACAACTCAACAGTTGCAGTTGGTGTATTTCATCTTTTTAAGCTCTAAGAAACACTGTTCTTTTTACAAGTGTCGCTGCCCTCCGAGTGGGCAGGGTACGGGCATCGCAGTTTCCACTTTGGACTTGGGGGCGGTCCCTCCCCGCATGCGCTGCGCCCCTTAGAGCACCGTCAGGGTCGAGGGCCTGGCTCGGTGGGCCTCTGTCCTCGCGTGGTTAGAGGTCTGCCGTGCGAGCCAGAACCCCGTCAGACATCACTGCAGACTTCGGAGGGGTCTAAGTGCCTGTTTGTGTCTTTGGAGGCAAAGCTCAGGTAGTCCACCCTGAGGTGTCTTGGGCGCTGCATCCTGAGGATCTGGCTCCTGGGGCCCCTCCCATGCGGCTTCCCCAGCACAGCTGACCCTCTCCCGGAAGACGCCGCCCTCCCCCGTGGCCCTCCCTCTGCGGGACTGTCCCGGCTGCTGGGCCGTGCGCAGGGCGGCCGCGGTGGGGCGGGCGCGGGTCTGTGTACCGCAGGACTGGAGAATGTTCACGTGCGCTCTGTAAAACTGGTGCTGGAGCAGAATTTTAAGACTAAATTTAAGTCTAGAACTAAAGAAATCTGGACACGTCCGTTACAGCCCCTCGATCTTGAGGGCAGTCGACCGCAGGGCTGGCTGGGTAGTGCGTTCGCCCTGTGACCCTGCCGGGGGCTCTGAGACCTCCCACAACTTCTAGATCTTTCTCGCTGGTTTACAAGTAAGACTGCCCTCTCCCCACCCCCACCCCACGCGTCCCATTTCTCATGCTTTTTCTCCCTTCTCTAGTCCTTAGCCAGAAAGGGTTGTTTTCTTTCATGCATTTCTTAGTATCAGTGATGTACAGCTCATTTTATTAAAAAGTTATCCTACAAAGTGGACATGTGTTGTCAGTCACCTACCGCGTCTAAATCCTTGAGTGGATCTGCTTTTCTGGTTCAGTTCAGCCAGATTATCTAATGGAGCCAGTGGGGGTGGGAAGGGGTTTCAGGTGGGTGTGTTGGTAGGCAGGGGAATGAATTTTTTAAAAAATATATTTAATTAATTTTGGGGGGGTTTTTTTGCTTGAGGGGGGAGGTAATTAGGTTTATTTATTTACTTATTTTTTTTAACAGAGGTACTGGGGCTTGAACCCAAGGCCTTGTGCAAGCTGGGCACGCGCCCCACCACTTGGGCTCTCCCCCACCCGGGATGTCTTCATTACCCGACCGCACAGGGCTTCAGGGGCACGCTGCTCCCCTCCCCAGCACAGCGGTGGGGGACAGGTGTGGGACAGGGCCCTTGGATCTGGGCCGGGGCTGGGGCCCCAGCGGTGCGGGGAGCTGTGGGTGAGACGTGGGCCGGGCAGCATCCATGAGGTGCTGCTTTCAGATTTAAAGGTATTTTCTCCTTGGGTCAAGTGTGTTTTATAAGCCGCACACCTGAAGCTGTGCTTTGTGTCTCTAGCATTTCTGTCTACAGGGAATTTGCTCGGTTGCCGAGTAGCGGCAGGGCCCACGGTACGCGGGCGGGGGCGGGCAGTGGGCGGCGCCTGTGCCCCGGCTTTGGCTTCAGGGCCCCATCTGCTGGCGTGGCTGAGCCCTGCCGCCTCTCTGCCCTGCTTTGCTTTTCCTAGTTCTTCCCCAGCTGCCCACTGTCGTTCTGGGGCCCCTGGTGTTGCTGATGGTCTAGAAGTCCCAGGCGGGGCGAGGTGGGGCTCTGCTGGATCTCTCTGCCGTCCCAGCCGGGCTGGCCGATGGGCACCTGGACACCGACCCCCTGGAAGCATCAGAGCATCTCCAGAGAGGAGCAGGGGCAGGTGGCCAGTTGCTGATGCTGGGTTTGAACATGGACGTGCAGGACTCCCTCCAAGCTCCCACGTGCGCGTGGCCACGGTGTTTTGTCCACTTTGCAGAAGGAAAGTGCCAGCCGCAGTTGTGTGGCCGCCATCTTCAGCCCGCCCCCTCCCGTCCCCCTGGCCGGCTGGCAGAGCTTCGCGCAGATCTGGGCTCCGGGTGAGGGAAGCTTTGTGTGCAGTGAGTCACGGTACGTGTGTGCAGTGAGTCACGGTACGTGTTTGCAGCTGCTTCTGCACACAGAGATTCTGGAAGTGTTCCCAGCCCTGACAACCTCTTGGTCAATGGTGAGTCCTTAAGTTGGAAGACTTCTGAACCATCAATAATAAACATACATCGTGCTATCTTTATGGACGATGAGTGATACGAAGTTACTGTCACTGAGAAGGAGATTAGAAAGCTCACAGTCAGGAAACTGGGGCACACACTGCTGTGTCGGGTAGCGGTTAATCGCAGCTCTGTTCCTTTTCTGGACTTGGTGAACTTCCCTCTAAACTGCCTCCCCGGCTTCCTCCCGGCTTTGGTGTTGTATTTTCATCCCCACCTGGTTTCTGAATAAGCATCGTCACGTGTCCTCCTAGCTGTCTGTTGCTTCCCACCCCGCCCGGCTGGTTCCTGGGCTGGCAGACTCCAACAACTGGGTCCTCGGCGTCTGTTGGCCTCCATGTACATGGTCACCCCAGACACCTCCAGTGTGGGGGCATCAAGGAAGGCGGGCTCTCTTTTGCATCATGGCTGGGGTCCCCACAGGCCTGTGTCCCCAAACCCACCTCTGTGACGCCAGTGGAGCCTTGGTGAGTGGCTCTGGGTGTGGCCCGCTGCACACAAGTGCTCCCCGTCCACAGGAAGAGACGGGTCTTCTGCCAAGGTCAGTGAGGTCAAGCTGGTTGCATACGTGTGTGCAGGCCTGCATACGGCCGTCATATACGTGGCTCCATGTGGCCGCCCCAGTCACGACGCGTGGGTAGGGCTTCCTTCATACTCATCCTGTGTGGGGTCATGAGATTCTTGGATCTGTGGATTACAGTCTGCCATCACTTTTGGGAAGTTGTTAGCTGTTAAACTTCTGAACATTTCTCCTGCTCTCTCTCCCCTCTGCTCTGGCTTCTGCGGCTCCAGTTACACGTAGGTTAGACCGTCTGCTCTTGGACTGTTGTTTTCTGTGTTCCATTGGGCATTTCTGTTGACCAGTCTTCACGGTCGCTGGTCTGTTCTGCTGTGTCTGGTCTTCTGTTAACCCATCTGAAGATCATTGCTTATGATACCATAGTTTTTATTCCCAGCATTTCATCTTGTTCTTTTTCATAACGTCCATGCTTCTGCTGAAACTTTCCATCTCTTCCTGTGTTGTCCACTTTTCACTAGAGCCTCACTGCTTCTGCCTTGGCTGTTTACAGTCTCCGAGTTACCGTTTGGGCAATCTCTGGTTCTGCTGCTGCTGACCGTGGGTCGCTGTCTTGTGACATCTCACTGTGTGCCAGGCATTCAGCACAGAACAGCAGAGTGAGTGATGCCCTGCCGGGTTCCTGCAGTGGGAGTCGCCGTGGCCTGCAGACTGCGGTTCCGAGGGTGGTGTTGGGACCGCAGCGGCAGCCGGGCCTGCGGTCTGAGCGTTGGCAAAATTCTGGGGAGGAGCCTGAGCCATGTTTTTACATTTTTAGATCCCTGGAGGGTTCTCTCCACTCTCCGTCCCAGGTCTTCTTGCCGCCTCTTCCCCAGCCTTTAAGGGCCCAGAATACTCCCAGAGCGCGTACTCAGCTGCCCTGTGCAACCTCTGGACTTGGTGGCAGGGACCCCAGAGTGCCCGCCAGAGGCCTTCTCACTTCCTATCCCCGCCCCCTTCTGGGAGAGGCTGCCTTTCCCTGGAGGGACTTCCTGCAGCTCACCCCCCGCCCTTGGCATCTACTCCGAGTGCTCAGCGAAGACGGAGGGCTGGAGGACAGGCCCGGACTGTCCACTGGGGCTACTCAGGACTGGACCCTGCTGGCTCAGCGAGGAGCCAAGCCTCGCTTGCTGCGGCTGGGCCCTCTCCCTCTGCTCCGCCAGGGGTGCTAAGAGCGGCCATGGCCTCGTCCACTGCTTGCTTCAGGTGTCTCGAGTTTGCTTGTGTCGTCAGCTCTGTGTACTTTAAACTGCGGCCTTGCAGCTGACTGGGCTTGTTCTGGTCAGGGGGAGCGACTGCCTCTTGTTCGCTGTACATCTGAATCGGAGGTGACCAGTCAGCCCTTACCTGTGTGCCCGTCTTTCCCAGTTCAGAAAGTCCCCTCCTGGGGCAGATGGCCTGGACAACAGGTCACAGACTCAGGGCCAGACTTGGTTCCTGATTAGATGGGGGGGCGGGGCTTCTGGTTTGAGGACTGGGTAGCGGAGGAGCACAGTGGGGATGGGAATGGAGCTGAGATTTGGGACCTGCGGAGTCTGGGGCTCTTGTGGGGACAGTCCTGCTGGACACTGCGCTGGGGAGGGGGCATGGCTTACAGCCAGCAGGGCAGGAGGGCAGCCGTGGGGACAGTCAAGTGCCGGCATCCAAGTTTGAATCTTGGGGGGAGGAGGCCGAGTGGCCTCGTTTGGGCTTTCACGTCTAACTTCAAGCAAAGGTGGGAAGTGACAGCACGTCCCAGCTGGCCTCTGCCGGCAGGGGCCCCAGTGCAGGCGCTGCCCTTGATGGGAGCAGCACGGCAGAAAAGCAGGTTCCAAATTTCCACTTTTTTCTGGCTGAAGATGAGAGCGTAAGACAGATTTCCCAAACATAGGGCACCAAAAAAAATCTGTTACCCTTAACATAAGCCTTGACATGACAGGCGGCCTGTGGGGGGTGCTGGGGTGCAGGGTGACACTAGGGGCCTCCTCCCAAGTGACAGGTGACATCTGTTGTCACCACTGTGTCCCGGCTGTGCCACTGACGCCTGCACTGATGGAGCTGTGGTCTCCCAGCCTCGAGGGGCCTTGGGGGGGACAGTGACGGCTGGGGCCCCACTCTGTGTGTGTGCCAGTCCTGCCCGCCTGACCCCCAGGCCTCTCCGAGGGACCACAAGGGCTGCCTGGCAGGCTGGTAGGACAGGGTTTCCAGCCCAAGTCCCCAAGGAGCGGGCGATTCAGCAAGAACACAGCTCGTCCAGGCTGTTTTACTTCATAAAATTTTACAAGTCAGTGCCGACGGCTGGGCTCTGCCCTGGGAAGGGGGTTTCCTCAGCCGATGACCAGGGAAGCTTGCCCGCTGGCAGGCAGGCAAAGGGGGGTGCAGGCGTGGATAAGCTCACACACTTCGGGGAAACAGCACCCCCTGCCCTGCCCCCCACCTCATGCCCTGCAGCCCTGGAACCCGGGGCCGGGGACAAGCGCAGTAGTAATGCACGCAGGACCTTCCAGGTCCCTGCACGGCTGCTTCCGGGGACAGTCCCAAACACGGGCTGCCCGGACGGTGCAGGGCAGGTGGCCAGGCACCTTCACTGTGTCGGGGCCCCAGACTCAGGAGCCACCACTGTTCCTCAGGCTGGGGTGGGGCTCCTGGGGGCCCAGGTGAGGACTAGCTCTGCCCAGGGACAAGGGGCACCCTGTCCAGCAGAGCCTCAGCCCCACAGGAGCCGGGGGGGGGGAGGCAGGGGGGCAGGGTGGGTCCCTGGACCACCCTGCCACAAGATAGTTCTGGTTTCCAGCACCAAACCAAACTCGTAAGATAATGAAAAATTCCTCATAAAGATACAAAGTCCTTCCGCTTTAGCAAACATCACTGTTAAACAATGTCATTTTTAGATTACGTGGAGTGAAAATCTTCTTTTTCCGTGGAATTGTGATGAGCTGCCGGTTTCCGTGGAAGGGGGTCTTCAGGAAGAGGCTGTATGTGATCAGGCTGCCCTGTCTGCTGCCAGGCGTCCCTGTGAGCTGGCAGGACGGAAGGACGGGTCAGGGGTCAGCACATGCACCACGAGAAATGCCAGCGGCCTGTCTGTCCCCTGAGGTGGCCGCGCCTGCCACTGGGCCCCCAGGGTCTATACCCACGTGTTGTCACCACGGAGGTGCAACAGACAGAAGTGCACGGCTGTGACTCCTGAAGCACCTGCCCCAAGGGGGACACACTCTGCCCCAGGGCCATGTCGGCCCCCTCCTCCCAAGGGTTCTGGACCCTGGCCTGTGGCCCCCACTCCAGATCAGAGCCTGGTGGTGGACACACCACCGTGTGCTGTCCCATCTTTTCCCAGGGTCGGGGTGCGTCCAGAGCAAACCCCCGCTGAGCTGCTCATCCTGGGCATCTGGAGGACAGGCCCCTCTGGGCCTAGTCGTGGCCCTCCACCCCCAACACCTGGTCCGGAGGTGGGAGGGAGACCCTGCTCCCGGGGAGGCTTCTCCTCAGCCTGGTAAAGCCCCTTTCCAGTCCCCTTCCTGCCGCCTGGGCCCCACCCTGACAGGCGGTGCTTGCGGGTCTAGCAGGGCCTTCAGACCACGGAGGAAAGCTGCTGCGCGGACCCTGTGGCCACCCAGCCCTGGGGCCGGGCCTGCCACCCTCCTAGCTGCCCGGCTCAGCCCCGACCAGCTCACCTGGGTCTGGATCAGGGCTCCGCAGCGCGGCAGACAGCAGCTGCGTACCATGGGCTCTGCGCGCCCCTGGAGGTCTGGGTCCTCCCGCATGTGGCCCTGGCCTGTGGAACGGCTCTGAGGGAGCAAAGCAGTGTGGGCCGGAAGGAAGGCCGCTGGAGGGTGCTTTTTCCCCCATTTTTCCTTTTTACCCCAGGCCCTTCAGTGTGTCTCCCTGTAAGCCAGCACTGGTGGCCAGCCCGTCCCGCCCCTACCCCTCACCACAGAGCCCCTTCTCAACCGAGGTCTTTGCCGCCCCCTCCCCGTTTCCATGGGAGGAAGACACGGCAGCCGGGGGCCCTTGTCAGGGTCCAGCCCTGTGTGGCCCTGGCAGCCACTCCTGTGCCCATGTTCCCCCGGCCTGCCTGCTGGCCCCTTCTGCATTTCCCATGCCTGAAAGTTTCCATAATATTAAAAATGGAAAAAGGTCTTTGCCAACTTGGTTACTGAAAGACAGCCCTCCTTGCAACTCACATGTTCTCTGATAACTCCTGAGTCGTGTAAGTTGGGTCTCGAGGAGACTAGTCAGCCATGGCCCTTGCCGTGGCCTTCCTGAGCCTTTCCCACCCCGTCTTTGCTCTGGCTTTGCCGGCTCCCACCTCCGAGGACCTGCCTGAGCTAACCCCACACCTCCGCCTACACCTGCTGTGGACCCTGACCATGTTCACGCTGGAGCCCCGGCCCCACGCCCCCCCCACCTGCAGAAGCTCCCGTGGCGCAGATGCGCCCCGCAGCCCCCAGCAGACAGCGATCCTCTATCCACCCTCCACAGCTACTCCTGGGCAGCCCGTTGCAACATCACCATGTTCTGCCCTGCACCCCTGGCACCGGGCGCCGAGGGCAGGGCTGCACTTGGATGCCCGTTGGCCTGGCACAGGGCAGGTGTGTAATGAGTCAGACAAGGGGCACCCGCTCTGCTTCGCCCCTCCCCTGCCTCCCCTGCCAGAGTCACCCCCGAGAAAGTCAGGGTCCTGGGCAGGTGTGCCCCTCTACAAACCTGCACGTTTTCCCCACTAGCAGAGCTTCCTGGCAGCAAGGCCCACCCACCCTCGTCCTGGTGGGGGACCCTGAGATGTGCTGTGGCCACAGGGTGGCTGGAAAGTTGCTGTGAAGTCCAGCCGACCCCTAGGAGACTCCCAGCCACCTCCACCTATGTCACTTCACCTTCCGAGCAGCATCAATTCCGAGAACAAGGAGGAAGTTTTCCTGGCAGCGGGACTCACTCCAGAGACACTGGGAAGTCAAAATGGTCTTGGCGTTCTGAAGAGCTCTCCAGAGTTTTCTAGATTCAGAACTGGAAAAGAGGTGCAATCGTTATAGGGCAACCTAGAAAGCCTTCAGAATGGAAGCACGAGAGCGCCTGGCCTGTTAGAGTCCTGAGAACAGAGCCTGGCCATCTCACTTGTCTGCTCATTTATTCAGACACCCACTATCCTGCAAGCACCCAGCACCGCCCCTCCTTCCTGCTTGATTCCGCTCCACAGAGCACATGCCTAGTGCTAAGTGGCTCATTTCATCACTGAGTGTCTCTTCCAAGGGCAGAAGCTCTGTGAGACCAGATATTTTTCTGGTCTTGTTCCCTGATGATCTTGAGTGCCTAGAGCCATGCTGGGTGCCACAGAGATGCTCAAAACCGGGAGGAGAACGACTGCCCAGAGGAGTGAACACGAGTGTCTGCTGCAGCCTCCAGGAGAGAAGGCAGGGCGGGTGCACAGACAGCTACAGTGGGAACAGTTGCCCCAAGTAGAGTCACTTTCAGACCCCACGTAACTCCATAGTGTTCCTGTCACCCATCGTCCAGTCTGCCCGGTCCCAACACCAAGACCACCTCTGGGTGCCCCAGACTCATGCCGCTGGCCTGCCAGCCTGGACCGTGACCTGGGGAGGCAGCATGTCCACAGGGCACGCCAGCCCCCTGGGCCAGGCTCTGGCCTCTGTGCCCAGGCCTCTGCCAGGTGTGCCCTAGGCAGGCGTGGGCTTGGACCCCAGCCAGAGCTCAGGAGGTCTGCCCGCACAGCTCTCTGCCGAGGTCTCAGCCTGCTCAGCAGGGCATGGGGAGGGGAGCAGGGAGGCCAGCTCCCACCCGCCTTCACCCCTCCCTCTGGGGCCTGGGTCCAGCTGGTCTCAGGCTATCGCTTAATTGAGTTAAACTGATTGTTCTCTCAGTGCTCAGTAAAAGGGCGTCTTAGAAAGTGGCCATCTGCAAACAACTGCCTCTGTGATTTCCCTTAGGGACCTGGCCAGGGAGTGTCAGGCTGGCAGGCACCCCAGGAGCACAGGTGGGCTGATCCCCCTGGCTGAGAAAGTCTCCAGGGCACTGGCTAGGGAAGGGGGGCAGGGGCGGGGCCTGAGGGGAGGGGCTGTGGCAGGGCATGAACCTGAACCTGGGCTACCTGGTCCTTTGGCCCTGGGACCAAAGGTGGCAGGATTTCAGGAGAGACAACACTCCACAGAGGTAAAAACAAAAGACCCCCGCATCCACCATTTCGACCAAAAGTGTTACTGCTGAGCGGCTGGGAGAAATATTAGCTCCTGCTTAAGTTCATTACCACAGTGTCTGCACAGGTTCAAGGCCAGGTGCTTCTTCCTTGCTTGCTTCTAAGAAACCGTCTAAGGTGGAGACAGCTTCAGTTACCTGCTGGATGGGCACTTCTTGAAAAGCAAACTTAAAAATGTTCTCATAGCTGAGAAGGAGCTGAAAAAAAGAAAAAAAATACCAAAGTCAGGAGAAATACATAAGTTATGTCACCTTATTCCAAATATATAATTTGGGTACAAATGAGATTTGTAAATGATGATACCGTTACTGCTATTATGACATGACGTGTTCCTGCCTAACAATCCCTGCTTGAGGCAGAATCATGCAACGAAGACCACAGAGTGTGTGGGGAGAGTGCAGTTAGGACACAACTGATGAACTTCATCAGTGACACATGGGAAAAGAGAGGCTCCCAGCAAAAACGTGAGCAGTCTTCTCATGTGTTGAGGGAGAAACCCACCCCTCCTCCAATAAACAGCATTTCCCAGAAAAAGACCTGAAGTGCGCAGGTTGTGAGTGGGTAGGAAGTGCTGGAAGGTGGGCTGTCTGCGGTCAGGGTGGGGACCCTAACCCCCATGAGGAGCGGTAAGGCACACCTAGGTGGGCTGGGAGAAGTGGGAGTGTGTGTGGTGTATGTACTTGCACGGGCCTCCATTCAGCAGGTGCATTTACCTGGTGTTTCCTGCAAAGTTCACATTATGATCAGATTGTTCCCTGATATATTAATTGAGTTGGAAGACAGTCCTGTCCTGGAGGTTAGGGCAGAGAAAGGGGGCTGAGTCCTGGGCTCTCCAGGCTGTCTCCAGCACCTGGTCACTAAACACACACTGAAATGTGGCCCTTGGTGGGGCTTTCCAATTAAATAGATTAATGACTCCGACAAAATGCACTTCACCCACATGCCCTGAACTGGGCCAGGAGAGCACAGCCTGGTTGATGGGCAGATGGGAAGGTGGAGGCAGGAGGCAGATGTGGCCAGACCCGGGAGGAGTGAGCACAGAAGGCGCCCAGCTCCCGTGTTGCCCCCTGGGGCAATCCATCTCTGGCTTAGGAGGACAGGACAGCCAGCCATGTGGCCCACGACCAAGGCCTAGAGAGCAGCAGACCCCCTCCCTGGCCAGCCCACGAGAGCCTGAGGTCCACGGGCCTTTCGGCATATAAAACACTTCCTTTGCAACATGGTGAAGATGAGTACTTTAGAAATACCTCAGAAGGTGAGATGGTGGCGGTTCCCGTCGCCCAAGGTCCACCCTGGTGAGGCTGGCGAGAACCATACTCCTTTGGGGCAGAAGTGGTTCTAGGCAGCTGAGTCTCTGCGGGCCTCTCTGGGAGCTCAAAGGACCGAGAGAATTGTTCAGACTTGGCCGAGGACTCCCTGAAGCCTTCAAACTCCCCCCAGGCACCGCTGCGTTCCCCTGGGTCTGGGCCACCGGCACTGCCACGCCCAGAGATCCTGGCGGCCCCGCCCGAGGAGGGAAGGAGGGAGCGGGTCTTCGCCCACGGCACAGCGTCACCGCTCGGCCTCCCAGGTGCCGGGCTTGCACCGCTGTCTTTAGAAGCCTCCCCTGCTTCCTCTGCCAGTTCACTCAAAAACGCGCAGAGAGGGGGCATCTGGCCAGCTGCCCCCCCAGCTCCTGTTGGCCTTGTGTGTCGGTGCCGCCAGGTCCGCACAGACCCGCTGGGAAGACGCTCAGGAGACATAGACCCTGCTGTGCCGGAGCTGCCCAGGGCTGGACAGGCCCGGCGGTCGCCTGCTCCCCAGTGCTCAGCGGCTGCCGGCGGCTTCCTCAGGAGTACTGACGGCCCGGTGTGGGAGCAAAGTCGCTGTGGAACGGACACAAATCACGTACACAATCTGATCACCCAGGGGAAAGTGACGGGAGCCGCTGCCCAGCTTCCTCCTCCACACGCTGGGCGACGGCCCAGCACAGGGGCGTGTCCTAGAGACCAACGAGGTGCTGGGGGTCAGCATGGCCTGGGAAGGTGGACGAGCTGCGGGGTCCTGCCTGGGCCGCGGTGGGCAGGGGTCTGCGGCGCCCAGTCTGGCAGAGTCGGGGAGAGTCGCGGCGCCCGCGGGAGGGCGGCGCCCCGGGGTCCCTGAGAGTTGGGTCGGGGGC